TATTTGCATTTTATTCTACCCTTCCTCCAAAGGGGGAGGATACTGCATTCTTCTTTAATTAATAATTTTCAAACAAAAAGTAAGATAGAATAGTGCATGGATCAAAGTCATTCAAGAGACTTGAACTACCAAGCTGTCCCTGATCTAGTGATAGGATTGCTCATCCCATATTTAGGCATGTATATATTTCATTCCTATTACATGCCTGGTTGATCCTTTAAAAAAGAATGGCTAATGCTGCCAGTCAGAAACACACTGCAGTTATTTCATCTATTATTTTTCAATGGATGTTTGTTATTGTAGAAAAGGGTATTGGTACTTACCTGACACACCCGTTCTCTTTGAGCTGTGAAGAGCATCCAGTAGTGGGAGGTGCTTCAGTCTCTGCATGTGTAGGCTGGGCTTAATTTGTGGAACGCTCCTCCTCCTCCACGGGACTACTCCCCAGTGTTCCCCAGTTTTGGCGAAGACAAAAAAAATGAACGCCCTCATCCTCAATGCCCTAACAATTCGTTGGCCGAAACAGGACCCCACCAGATGGAAAAAAGGGTGGGGCTGGATGCTCTTCACAGCTCAAAGAGAATGGGTGTGTCAGGTAAATACCAATGCCCTTTCTCCCATGAGCTGTTCAGAGCATCCAGTAGTGGGACATACCAAAGCTTGGCCTGTCCTACAGGAGGGACTCCGTCTGGCCTGGAATCTCCTCCTGGTCCCTGTGAACCCATTGCAGAACTCTTCTGCCAAAGGAAGCCTCAGCGGATGCAAACACATCTATTTTATAATGTCTAATGAATGGCAATGGGGAGGCCCAAGTTGCGGCTCGACAAATTTCAGTTATTGGTGCCTGTGTGGCCCACGCTGCCGATGTTGCGGCGCTCCTTGTTGAATGAGCTGTTATGCCCCTGGGCACCTGCAGGGATTGAGTCTGATATGTTTTCGCTATTGCAGCTCGTAGCCAACAGCCTATCGTAGAAGGTGAGACCTTGCATCCCTGAGTGTTGGGCTGAAAGGACACGAATAAGGCCTCCGTTTTTCTGAAAGCCGCTGTACGATTGATATATATTCACAATGCTCGCCTCACATCAAGCCTATGCCATTGCAGTTCCTTCCCTTGTGATGGTCTGGGGCAAAAATTAGGAAGTATCAGCTCTTGTGCCCTATGAAAGGCCAAGTTAATTTTGGGTATAAATGTGGGATCAGGGTGAAGGACCACCTGGTCAGCATGGAAAACACAAAGATCTTGTCTGATAGACAAGGCTGCAATCTCCGAAATACGACGAGCAGAAGTAATCGCTCTTTTTCCAATTTATTAAGAAGCCATGCTTTTGTAGGGATTGTAATGTGTTCTGAGTGTCTTTGACTGCTTGATGGGCGGAAGATGACAAAATCAAGATGTCATCAAGATAACACTGGAGTCGTACGGGGATGTCCCGGAGATGAGCAGCTAATGCTGCGAGAACCTTTGTGAAGGTCCTAGGGGCAGAAGCTAGTCCGAAAGGAAGGGCCACATATTCAAAATGGTGGTTATTATAACAGAATCTCAGAAATTTATAGTGGGAAGGCCGAATAGCAATATGCAGGTACGCCTCCGTCAAGTCTATGGACGTGAGGACGTCCCCCTTTCTGATGCCAAGTAAGATAGATTGCAGGGT